GAAAAACAATACCTCTTTACTAATTGTCATAATTCCTTAGACTGTCCCAAGTTGTTCACAGACAGCAACTGAAATGCTTCTTTTTTATTTTCTTCTCCCATTCCCCTCTTTTCCTCCAATTTATTTTCTTTTTCTTTTTCTTTTTTAATTTGCCAGGTGGCAACCTGCACTTTCAGGAAAAAGGGAGAGAGAGAGAGAGAGAGAGAGAGAGAGAGAGAGAGAGAGAGAAAGTAAGAAAACAGGAGTGGCAGATGGCGTAATGGTTACATCATTGGACTTCCATATAGTCAACTGTGGTTCATCTCCTAGACTCGGTGGCTTAAGACTCTTGCCAGGCACACGTGTGTGTACCCAAAATCCTGAGAGGAGAATGAAGGAGAAGGGTTTGTGGCATGGCCATCCCCGCTGGTGGGGCGATTTCTCTCTTTCTGTCTCTCTGTCTCTCTGGCAAGTGCATGCTCCCTATAGCAAAGATCTCTTAAAAAATGAAGAAGAAAGAAAGCACTCCATCACTGGGGCATGATTATACTGCAATACCTTCTCCTCCATCTCTCCCTTATTCTGGGATTTTGGACACATACACACACACTCACACACATGCCTTGCTTGTTTCTTAGCTGCTAGGTTTGAGACTTGAATCACACAGTCAGTCATGTGGAATCCAGCCATCTCAGCCACCATTCCACATGCCACCAGTTACGTTTTTCTTTTCTTTTCTTTGATTTTTTTCCTTTCTTTTTCTTTAGTTGTCTCTTTTCCTTTTCTCTCCTTCTCTCTTTCTTTTTTCCTTGCCCTTTCTTCAATGTCACTACTAGTGATAGTTGTTATACAATAACTCTTGTGCAATTAAGTTGACTTTAATCTTATACTGGGAGTACCATCCTACTCTCTTGCCTCTTTTATATCTTGAAAACTGGGTAGCTGGGGTGTAATGGTTAAGGTGCTGGACTCTCACATGGCTGACTATGGTTTGAGTTCCAGACCTGGCTTTCTCCCTTTCTCTCTCTCTCTCTCTCTCTCTCTCTGTGTGTGTGTATGTGTCTTTCTCTAGTGAGTGCATGTGCCCTGTAGTAAATTCAAAAATAATAATAATGATAATTAAAATTTAATAAATGATACTTAAAAAAAATGACTAGCAGCCAGGGGAGGAAATGCTACATCTAGCCTACCTTATCTGACATACCTTTGTTCTGAATCTGTTTACAAACTTACTACAGAGGATGTCATGTCTGCCTGTGAACACAGTACTTATCTGAACATTTTGGTATATTTGTTATATTTTTATTTTCTATAGTAATGTGAATGTATTTAAGGTGGAGTTGACAGAGTCGAAATATTTTCTAGTATCATTGTTGTAAGTATAGACTTAGGGGTCAAATTGCCTGGGTTTCAAATCCTACCTTCAGTGTTTCCTAGTTATATGACCTTGACCAAGTAAATTAATTGCTCTGGGCCTCATCTGTATATATAACCACATTAAAACCTACCGTATAGGGTAGGTTTATGAGACTCAAATTATGAGAATCAAATGAGTTGATGTATGTGCATATGTGTATGTATACATGAATATATTTATATATGTATGTTTGAACTCATATGCATATATGTACACACACACACATATATATGGCATATAAAATTGGCGCATAGAGTGCATCTCATAAATATCAGCAATCACTATTGTATCTAATTTTCTCAATATAGTTATAAATGCTGCTCCAGCCTGTCAAAAAATATTACATCCATTTCTTGTGTTTTACTCAGCACCAAGTTATATATGGCTAGTTGAATGACATAAAAATTGGTAGCGGTTAAATGATCAGTTCACTGTGTAAAATTCAAGCCATGAATTACACGGTTGCCTCTCAATTGTAAAAATTGGTTTAATTTTCCAATATGTGTAGTTGTGATGGATCATTACAGACCTTTTTTTCCTGTAGTTTTTATGGTTTAAAGATTGAAATTTTAAAACCAGCTTTTCAGTTGACCAACGATTAGCTAATTTCTGATAATAGAAAAGGAAACAGATTGCCCCAAGGCTGCTGTTTT